ATGTAACCTTGAGGAATGAAAAAGCAGTTATGCTATGAGAGATGTTATTATGGGCTTCAACCAATCAAATTTGAAGAGCAAGTCTCAAGAGTTGTTAATTTTATGCCAGTACATGTCCAGAATACTGACTCATAATGCAAATCTTGAGCATGATTTCTCATTAATGCCTGTTCAGTGGCCAAAAGAACAAAATAAGTTTGATATGACCCCTGCAGAAGCCATGTTAAAATGTAAATGGAACACAGACCAGAATTGAAAGGACTTTTATAAGGAAATTCTGCAAAATAATGAGTAAGTATTAAGAAGAAACAAATCACCAAGGACATTTAATGAAAGAGAGAGGTATGTGATTTAGATATTTGTAATTTAGTTCAGACTAAAACTGAATATGTTTTTAGTATAGGTATATCCCTTGCAATAGTGCTCTTTTATCTCAACATATATTTGAATGGCAATTAGAAATTATCCAAATTTTACTGGGTGTCCTGTACGTTCACTTATTTCCCAGTGATTTCCCAGCCCCTGTGCCTCTGTGCTTTATTTCATGTCTGTCTGCAAAGCTTCCTCTTTGAGATCAAATCCTGACTGAAAACCTTAGCAATAATAATAGTGAACCCTTAGTGAGAGGTCACTCTGTGCTGGGCACTGTCTTAAATGCCTTAGTCATGTTAAATGAATAGTTTACTCTTCCCTATGGTGATACTCTAGATAATAATAGTAAAACTATAAGATATTATTTTTCCTATTTTATGGATTAAGCAATTAGTGCACAAAGAAACTAAGTAACCTCCAGAGGTTACACAATACCTAAGTAGTGGTGTAGTGGCACCCCCACTCCTCCACAGAAAATCTTAACTAAGCTTCTCCAGAAGTCTTCACCATAATTGATTTTAGGACTATCAGCAAGAGTTTGATGTAAGTAAACTTCCTATTTTCCTGTTGCTTTATTACTTGGCCACTAGCCTGGAAGAAATCAGCACTCCAACTGCTGAATGCCAGTTTACTAGTTTTTCACAAACATTTATCCAATATAGTAGTTTGCAGAAGTGTGTTTGCAAATGCAAAATGTGATTTAAAAAAAAAAATTCTTTAACAAGGCTCTGGCCTTGAGCTGGGCTTCACAGAGATGCCTACATTTCTAAGATAAGAGAAGTTACCAACTGGGCTACATGGTAACAGCTGGCAGAAAAGAAAGGGGGAAAAAGCTCTCCCCTTCTCAGGTGTTGGCCTTGAAGGGTTAACTTGCCCAAAACAGTGAAAGAAAAAGCTGCTTTTATGTGAAATTCTGCAGACAGTGAACTTCTGAGCCTCTTCTCTTACACACTGGGTATAAAGTTCTGAAACTACCTGAACTTGGAGTTCAGGGGATTAATTGATTACAGCAAAAGCTGTGCCCTATGAACCTGGCTGCAGCCAAAAAAAAAAAAAAAAAGGTTTCCTGATATCTTCGGTGCCCTGCCTTATCTGTCTCCTATAACAGTGGTGCTGGGATTCAAAGCTAGGCCATGTGGCTCTAGAGTCCTTTCCCCAGCACACCACCTGTATCTGTCCTGTCCTGCCCCATGTGGCTCTCCGTAGCTCTGACCTACTTTCCCATTTAATGTTTTAACCACTCAATAAGGCAGTGTTATATTGTCTGTCCCTTGTGGAGGAGCCTAAGATAACTAAATTTGTTCTTGTTTCCCCCTTTAAAAGAAATTCTGAAATACTCAAGTGCTGGAAGCAACCTGAACATCCATCTACAGGTGAAAGGATGAACATGATAGGAAGAGGTAAAACTATAGTGATGATAAAAAGTTCAGTGGTTGCCAGGAGTTCAAAGAATTCATTAGGTGCAGAATGGATTTTTTTTTTTAGGGCATTGAAATTATTCTATATGATACTGTAATTGTAGATACATGACACTATGCATTTATCAAAAATCTTCAGAGTTTTATGGCACAAAAAACAAATCTTTTTTTCCCCACTTCCAAGACTGGAGATTGAACCCAGGGCTTCACTCATGCTAGGCAAGTGCTCTACCACTGAGCTTAAGTCTCCAGCCCAAAGAGTAAATCTTGATGTATACTAATTAAAAAAAAAAAATGTAGGAGATTGGGGGAACCTAGGATAGTGCTATAATTCAGACCCTTATACTTTATTTTGTGGTATAAAGTATAAAGGGCATGCATGCTAGGTAAGTATACTCTACCATTCAGCTATATCCCTTGTTTGGGTCATCAATGTTCCTGAGAATCCCATGATGTTGAAGGCTTACTCCTCAGCCTTGTGCTATTGGGAGGTGGAAACTGTTTTTTTTTTTTTTTTTTTTTGAGACGGAGGATTGAACCCAGGATCATTTTACCACTGAGCTACATTCCCAGCCCTTTTATTTTATTTTGGTTCAAAAGATTGAACCCAGAAGCACTTTTTCACTGAGTTTTAAAATAAACATCCTCAGTCCTCTTTATTTTTTATTTTCAATTATGGTCTCACTAAGTTGCTGAGGGTCTTGCTAAATTACAGAGACTGTTCTGGAACCTACAATCCTCCTGCCTCAGACTCCCAAGTAACTGGGATTACAGGCCATCAGGCCTGGCTCAGGAAGTGAGAACTTTTTAAGAGACGGGGCTTTTCTTGGAAAGATCTGGAAGCAGCTGCAGACAGGCCTGTGTTACCTGGTGTGTTTGGAGATTGGGGCTGGTACTTCATTGTGAAACATCTGCAATCCTCATGCTGAGATGGGATTTTTTTTTTTTTTTTTTGTACTGGGGATTGAACTCAGGGGTACTGAGCCACATCCCCAGCCCTATTTCGAATTTTATTTAGAGACAGGGTCTCAGTGAGTCCCTGAGTGTCTTGCAGTTGCTGAGGCTGGCTTTGAACTGGTGATTGTCCTGTCTCAGTCTCCCAAGCCGCTGGTATTATAGGCCTGCACCACAGCACCCGCCCTGAGATGAGATTTGGCTGACTTTTTAAATAAACAAATAAAAACTATACCAATAATGAGGCCAAAAAACAAGTTCCTCAATCTGTAAAGGTATCAGTTCCACCATCTCTGATCTCATCAAGGTCTACAGGTTCTCAGCAGCTGAAACCTACCCCTATCAGCTAGCCTAGCGCTGCAGCTGGGCCCAGGAGCAAGTGAACCCCTGGGGCTCTCCACAGTAAGCAGAGTCAAGAGAAACTCAGAATGTGGCTCCTCCCCTGAGGGAAGAAGATGCAGTCATCAGGGATGCAAAGCCAGGATTCCTTTGACTACTGGAGGAAGCCTAAGCTGACTCAGGAGGTGTGGCTACAGCTCCTAAGAGCTGCTCATGATCTAGAGTGTCCCAAACTGTGAGACCATATACCATAAGTCTCTATATTCCTCTGAGCCCCTTTTTCCACATCTATGAAATGATTGTGATCATATCTGCCTATTGAGAGGGATCATATGAAACCATGGGCACCAAAGTTCTTGGCAAAGTCCTATATAATGGCAGGTGTTACTAATGACCACTTATTCTTTCATCCTGATCTCTGTATGGAGGATTCCCAAATGCCCTCAGAAGTCTGACTCAAATGTTAACTTGAAAGAATAAGATGACTCTCTTGTTGGCACATACGGTGTACAAAATCTGCTGTCATAGCAGTTGGGAGGCAATGCAGGCTAGTGGTGAAAAGCAAGGCTTGAACTTCGGAAGATCTGCCTGATCTCAAATCTTAGCAAGTCATTTGTGCCCTGACCAAGTGAATGTCTCTAAGCCTCAGTTTCCTCATCTATAAGAGAGTAATAGCAAACCTACCTCACTGGAAGTCAATGAGAGTTAAGTGAAAGTATGCAGGTCAAATACCTTACCCTTGGTGTACACACACATATTACTGTGTGCACATAGTAAAATAAATGTAAACATATTTTTAGAAAAACAGTTTAAAACGTCCTCTACCTGTTAGCAACGGTTACTTTGGTGTGGGTAGTTAGAGCAAGGTCCTGCTTTTTTCTTTCTTTTTGCATTTTTTTTTATTGTTGTCCCTCGGATTTTCTTTTCTGTTAGGATTGAAACCAGGGGTGCTTTACCGCTGAGCTACATCCCCAGTCTCTTTTATTTTGAGACAAGGTCTTACTAAGTTGTTGAGACTGGCCTGGAACTTGCAATCCTCTTGCTTCAGGTGCTTGGATAACAAGTGTTGATAGGCCCAACCTGATTTTCTCTTAAAATTGGGAGCCATCTCACCACAAAGCCATGAAAAGATAATTTCGGCTTTACTATAAACTACTGCAAATTCTGAACCTGCTTGGAATGCCTGCCCGTGCCTTGAACTCACCCATGCCAGGCTCTCTGACCAGATAGCAGCCCTCTCTGAAACTTTAGTGAGGCCTCATAAATCTTGGCCTCCCCTGGCCAGATAACGGCCCTCTCTGAGGCTCTGATTACCTTCATAAATTCTGATATCAGGGCCAACAAAAATGTAAACTAGCATTCTTTTTTTTTTTTTTTTGTTATCTGTAACCCCACTTCTCTGTAAAGTTAGGCTGCAAGAAAACTGCCCTGCTGTCTTATTCCTGAGGTTTTTGTGGAGAGGCAGCCCTGCAGGTGCAAATAATAAGCTTGCTTTAATTTAATTTTAATTGGAATCAGTGGTCTTTTCTTGCCTTCCGGTCTAACAATGCCACCCTTCCTGCTCCTGCCCCTTTGTCTAGTATATATTGTTGCAAAGTTTGATCTTAAAGGGAACAAAAAAACAACACAAAAAAGCCCAGTTATATTTAAAACAAAAATGTAGCACCTAGCTCAACAGATCCCACCTACAGGAAAAGCGGGCAGCGTCAGGGTAAACCCCCCTCCCATCCCCCGCACTAAGGCGGGGGGGGGAGGACGGGGCCGGGAGACTCCTACTAGCCAGGGACCCGGCGCCTCCAAGTCTCTCCTCCTGTGCAAAATCAGGCCCTGACCGCGCAAGTGTGTTTCTCACAGCCCATTTCGGCTTTGCTCGCTCCAGGCCCACGTTAGCTGGCGGTAGCGTAGGTCCTGGGCTGGCCAAAGTGGCCCGCTGAGTCAGCCTGCGGGGCGGCGCGCACACCGCGTGACCACGGCCACGTGACCAAAGCGAGGCCCGTCGGCCGGCGCAGTCGCCTCGGCAGCCTCGGGAGGCGTGTGCGTAAGTGGGGAGCGGGAAGGGCGGGACCCTCCTGGTGGGCAGGGGTCCCGGCGTTGTCCCAGTTCCCCCGCGTCCAGGCGCGGCCCGGCGAACCGCTTCCACCCCTTCCAGGAGGGCTGGAAGGAGAGACGAAGTCGTAACCTGGGTGGGAGGGACACTGAACCCCACCACCTCCGCGCGGGCGACCCCCTCTCCGGCCTCCCCACTCCCCACCATTGATTGCCGTGCTGGGGGTGCCTTCCTTCCGGAGTGATACCTTTACCTGATTGTGCTTTGGGGGAAACTGAGGACCCAACAGTGTTCCCCAAGCAAGGCGGTCGATGAGAGTACCCCTTTTCGAGTGCTGAATAAGAACACACCTCCCCAGGCAAAGCATCACCCCCACCTGTTCCGTTGGCCCAAGATGATCCTAGGGCCCCTCCAGTTCTTGAGCAAGACTATGGGGTTGAGTATCCAGCCTGTAGGGCTGTGGGAGGGGAACTGAGTCAAGCTAGAAGAGAATAATCGCCAACATACTGTGGGGTTTACCAGCATTTTCTCATTTGTTATTCCCTGTCTGAAGTTGGCGAGTAGGTACTGCTGTGCCCATTTTTACATAGGAAATGTCTTCATAGAACGCGGGTGCTTTATGAGTTCCTACCATTGGTAAATGGAGCTGAGATGAGAACCCTGGTCTACCCTCATAATAGCGCCTCCTGGTGGGTGGAAGAGGTGCCCAGCCCAGCCTATTCCTCTGAACTCAAAGTGAGGGCCATTGGTTCCTTTTCTCATCTCATCTACCCACTGCAGAACAAGATGAAGCTCATCATCCTGGAGCACTATTCGCAGGCCAGTGAGTGGGCGGCCAAATACATCAGGAACCGCATCATCCAGTTTAACCCAGGACCAGACAAGTACTTCACCATGGGACTCCCCACTGGTGTGTTGTGGAATGGAGATGGTGGGATCAGAGGGTTTTAAGGGGTCAGGTTCTAGGCTTGTTCAGCCCAGGGACTTACAGGAGGACTTAAGGTATTGGTGCTATGAGAGAACACCAGAGCCCACTCTACATACAGAACAGAGGACCTGGCTTTCTTTATGGGTTGGTTTAGTTGTTGCCTATAGTTCCTATAGAATCTTGGAACAGTTAGACAGGAAGAACTTGATTTTAGGCTACATCCTAAGTCAGCTCTATTAAGGCATTCAGGGTGCCTTAGCAGAACTAAGTCCTGATTCCTTAAAGCATGCATTTTATGAAAATAATTAGTTTATCTTATGTGTGTTTGGGGGATGCTAGCTAAGTACCATTCCTGAGAGAATTGAGAAGATAGTTATTCAAATATTCTCTGTAAGGTTTAATTATGCACAAGATCTAAGTGGAAAAAGTCCCAGTTTCTTTTAAAAAAGGTCAGAATGTTGCCTTTATAGGAAGATAATTTGACTCCAGCTTCTCAAGCTGAATGTCCTAATTACTTCTTTCACAGCTGGGTGGATTTGCCCCATGGGTCTTACTTGACTCATCCACTGGAGTAGGGGCTGTGAAACTTTTTCTGTAAATGACTAAACAGTAAATTACTTTAGACTTCCCTGTTGCAACTACACAACTCTGTCACTGGAATATGAAAGCTACCAATAATAGGTTGGTGACTTTTATTGGCTGTGTGCCAGTAAAACTTTACTTATAGACACTGAAATTTTCATATGTTGCAAAACATTCTTTTGATTTTTTTTTTTTTTTTGGTACTAGGACTTGAACCCAGGGGTGCTTAACCACTGAGCCACCTTCCCAGCCCTTTATAATTAACTTAGAGACAGGGTCTTGTTGAGTTGCTGAGGCTGGCTTTGAACTTGCGATCTCCTGCCTCAGCCTCCTAAGCTGGGATTATAGGCATGCACCATTCTTTTGATTTTTAAAAATGTAAAAACCATTCCTTCTTAAATTTTTTTTTCCTTTTTGTATTGGAGATTGAACCCAGTGGCATGTTAACACCGAGTTCCATCCCCTATCCTTATTTATTTATTTTTTTAAAGACAGGGTTTCACTAAATTGCTTAGGTCCTTGCTAAGTTGCTGAAGCTGGCCTTGAACTTGTGATCCTCCTGCCTCAGCCTCCTGAATTGCTGGGTTTACAGGTGTGTGTCACTGCACCTGACTAAGAACCATAGTTAACTCATGAACTCATACAAATAGGCAGCAGGCCCAATTTGGCCTGTGGACCAAAGTTTGCTGAACTCTGCATTGGAGCTCTGTGAGAGTGGTATCTGCCTGCACCTTGTGAAACCACCTGTGTCTCAAACCTGTTGGAGTTGTGTTAACATCCTGTCTCCTATCTAGAGTGAGCCAGCCTCCACCTGATCAGTCTGGCTTCTATATCAGGCAACTCATTGCTAATTCCCGTTATCACACAATCAGATCCAAGCTCTGCAGAGTGGCATTGAAGGCCCTTCAGAACCAGACCCCTTGCTGCCTGTCACATTTTAAACAGCACAGCATTTCCAAGTGGGTTCCTTGTCATAGGGACCAGTCGATTATTTTTGGTGGGACTGGGGGAGTTTCCATTGTCATTCATTCAGCAGATGTTTTTATTAAGTGTCTCTGTTAGCCAAGCAGTTCTTAGCTCTGGGGATGCAGCAACAAACAAAAGGATTTGTTATTAATTCCTGTGTTCCAAAGCTTAAATTATAGTGGGAGAGATAGACAAGTTAATTAGCAAAGTGTGGAGTATGTTAGATATCAATAAGGAGGAGGGAGAAAAATGAAGCAGGAAAGAAGGATAGGGAGTATTTAGATGGAGGTTTGCCATGTTGGATATATTGGCAGGGAAATCCATTCTGAGAAAGTAACAGAGGAGAGGCCTGAAGAAGTGAGTTAGCCGTACAGATACCTGAAGAGTATTCCCATTAGAATAGCATGTGCACAGGCCCTGAGGTGAAGTGACTCTTGCAAGATAAGGTATGCAGAGGGGTAACCAAGGGCCCAATAATGTGGAGCCTTTGTAAGGACGGGTTACCACTGATAGTGAAATGAGAAGCTGTTGATGGATTTTGAAAATATGAATGACTATCTGATTTGGATAGGTTTTTAATTTTCCTCTTGCAGGGAGCACCCCACTTGGCTGCTATAAGAAACTGATTGAGTACTACAAGAATGGAGACCTGTCCTTTAAATATGTGAAGACCTTCAACATGGATGAGTATGTGGGTAAGTCTTTCTCTTTCAGGGTTCTAACCTGATTCCAGGAGTCATGTTCTTCTTTCAGAGGCTCACCTCTGGAGAGAAATGGGAGCATCTCAAGGAACCAGTGACATTTGGTGATAGGCTCAGTTATTGATAACCTCTCTCTTTCAGCCTTGGTTTAGTTGAGTTATAAAATGAAGTTAATAAAGTTGACTTCATGGGTTGTAAGCATTATGATACTCACAGATATGGAGGCTTCTGGCACATAGTAAACATTTAATGAATACTTAATATTAGAGTACTTCCTTCCCCTTTGTCTGCTTCCTAGCTCAGTGCTATTTCTTTCTGGAACAAATGCATGTAAGTAGAATCTTGGCTGGGGTGGTTCGAAGGTTCTTTGTCTATATTTTCTCTCTAGTGTGCATCCTCTACTTCCCTTTTTTCTTTCTTTCTTTTCTTTTCTTTTTTTTTTTTTTTGTTTTGTGTGTGTGTGTGACTTCGGATTGAACCTCAGGGTTACTTTACCACTGAGCTATGACCCAGCCCTTTTAATTTTGGGGATGGGGGTCTCATTAAATTCTAAGCCTGGCCTTGAATTTGCAGTCCTCCTGCCTTAGCCTCCCAAGTCCCTGGGATTTCGGGTGTGCATCACCATGCCTGGCTCCTTTAGCTCTCCTTTCTGCCGGGTACACTTGGAGGGGAGCTGAGGCTTGGTCTTCTATTACCTTTCTGCTCCCCACTTCCCCATATTATAGTAGCTTCACTTTAAATGTTCTTTTAAAAAAGGATTGTAGTAAAATATATACAACATAAAATTTGCCATCTCAAATGCCAGGTTGATGTTTGAGTCTGTAGTCCCAGCTATTTAGGGGCTAAGGCAGGAGGATCACTTGAGCCAGCCTGGGCAACACACACACACATCTTAAGCACTTTTATGTGTACACTATGGTAGTGGTAAGTACATTCACATAGTTGTGCAACCAATCTCAGAATTCTTTTCATCTCATAAAACTGAGACTCTGTTTCCATTAAACAACTCCCTGTTTCCTGTTTTCCCCAGGCTCTGGGAACCACCATTTTATTTTCTGCTTTCATGAATTTGATTTCCCTAGATACCTCATATAAGTAGATTCATAAAATATTTGACGTCTTATGTCTGGCTCCTTTCACCTAGGAGAATGTCTTCAAGATTCATCCCATGTTGTAGCACTGTGTTGGATTTTCTCATGTTTAAGGCTTATTTTAATTTTTTTTTGTACTGGGGTACTCTACCACTGGGCTACATCCCCAGCCCTTTTTATTTTGAGATAGAGTTTTGATAAGTTGCTGAGTTTGGCCTGGAATTTACCATCCTCCTGTCTCAGTCTATTGAATTATGGGGATTATAGACACAGGCCACCACAGCTGGCTTGAATTTAAATATTCTTAATGCTCAACATTAACCATTTATTTTAAACATTAGTTTTCTTTCTGGATTAAAAAAAAAATACATTTTGATAAGCCCTGAGATAATTTTCTCTAGCCACTTGGTATTTAAGTTGGGGTTTAAATTGAGCAGGGTATAAATGATGGGGTATGTTTGCTTCCTTTCCCAGATAAGCCCAGTCCTACCCCAGGTGACCAGGCTACCTCCAGAAGCCCAGAGTGTTCCCACCCTCCAGCCTATGGTCATTCCCTTGTGAATGAGGGGATTTCCCAGTTCCAGCTCCATAGTCAGTGGATACCTAATGGACATCAGCTCAGCCTATCCCAGGAGGATGGGAGGCAGGGGGCTGGTGTCCAGGGCTTTCTGATGGACAGTCCCCTAAGTGTTCTGGCATCTTCCTTGGGAGGAGAGCTCTAGCACAGCCTGGGTATGACTAAATGTCTCTGACCCCACAGGCCTTCCTCGGGACCACCCAGAGAGTTACCACTCCTTTATGTGGAACAACTTCTTCAAGCACATTGATATCCATCCAGAGAACACCCACATTCTGGATGGGAATGCAGCTGACCTGCAGGCTGAGTGTGATGCCTTTGAGCAGAAGATCAAGGCTGCAGGTGGGATCGAGCTGTTTGTCGGAGGTGAGCTTATTAGCACTCCTCAGCACATATCCAGGCCCAGGCCCAGGCTGGCTGGATTGTATGGCAAGGACATGATGCCAAGCCTGTCCCCATGAAGCCTTCTTTGTGCTCGTGACACTGGGGTCATCTATCACCATGTGGATGCAGGGAAGGCATAGAGAAAATGGGAGTCTTGGGTCCTAGCCCTGGCTCTGTTGCTCAGGATGGAACTGTGATCATGGACACCTTCTGTTTCTATACTTTGATGCTTTATGTAAACTGAGAGGTTTGAGATTTGGACACAGATCTTTTATCCCCAATCTTTAGGCTTTATGGATCAGTCATGTAATTTACCTAAACATTAAAATCATGGACTCATGTAGTTTCAGAAGATTCCATATGGCCCTTGCATGCTTTCCATAGGACCTGAACCCCAGAGAAGTTGTGTGACTTATCAAGGTCAGTGAGTAGCAGTGAGAAGGTGGGACCCTAGGGAATCTACCTCTGAGGCTTAGGCTCTTATTCCTACTTAGGTTCTTATTCCTATTCTACATGTTACTACCTTGGGCATCACCCACAGGGGTATAAAATTGGACTAACTTTTTCTGGGTCTAACTTCTATAAGAGTAGGGAGGAAAAACCTTGCATATTCTGAGGTTTCGGAACTCGGCACCCGCTGCCTAGGTGCTGGGTGTGTTTTCCCTGTAGACAGGAGACAGAGAAGTCATACTTCCCAATAATCTGGGGGGTCAGGAACTATTTGGAGTGCCCCTTACTGAGCTTCCTGAAGGTGGAAGCAAATTAACAGTGTCTGTGCCTCAGATAGAAATGGTGAGGAGGGGGCAGAGTTGTAACTCAAGAGTACAAATGAGGAGATAGTTTTCAAGGATTTTTTTTTTCCCAGACCCTAATTAGAGAAGGAGAGATTGTCCAGTTTTGAAATTGTAGATTCCTAGGACTCACAGAACTGTTGTGGCTGTCTCTTTCTCTAGGCATCGGCCCCGATGGACATATTGCCTTCAATGAGCCAGGTTCCAGCCTGGTGTCTAGGACTCGTGTGAAGACATTGGCCATGGACACCATTCTGGCCAATGCTAGGTTCTTTGATGGTGATCTTGCCAAGGTGCCCACCATGGCCCTGACAGTGGGTGTAGGCACTGTCATGGATGCTAGAGAGGTAAGGGTGCAGGGGTCCACCAGCCTTTGTTAGAGTTGGGGCCAGTGGGCTTGTCTTTTTGTTGTTAATTATAGCTATACAGCTGAACATATTCTTATTAAAGATGAAGATGTAATAAATAAGGCTAAAATCCCAGCTGGTCCTGTTTCTCTCCCTTCTTTGGAGGTAATCATTGTTCTCAGTGTGGGTAAATCCAGTAAGCAGTTTTTGTGTGTCTTTGGCTAATTGACCAGGGGCTGCTACCTGACCTTGGCCTCTGCTGATGTTCCACTTCCATGCTTCTCACCGGCAGAGAGAACCCCAGCACAACTAATGTGGGAATGTGAATTTGTACTTGCCTAGGCACTGAGAAGGGACCCTCTTGGTGTCCCTGAAGTTGGTCACTATTTGAAAGAATGCTTCTCCTGCAATCCAAGGATGTGATGATTATGGCCCTGTGCTCAGGAATAATAAATGTAGTGAAGTGTGATTAAAAGATAAGTCTTTAAGGCTTTGGGGATATAGCCAGTGGCAGAGCAATTGCCTAGCATGCACAAAGCCTTGGATTCAATCCCCAGTACCACCAAAAAAAAAAAAAAGAAAAATAAAACAATGCATTCAGTGACAAGAAAAAAAAAAAAAAAAGTGTCTTGAACTGAATTTAGGGAGTTTTTCTCCTAGAAAATTGGTTATCCTTTGGTGTGTGTGTGTGTGTGTGTGTGTGTCTGTCTGTCTGTCTGTGTGGTTCCAGTGTCCTTACTGCTTTCATTAGAATTTTAGAAATATTTTCTATTCCTTTGTGAGATACATTCAGTGAGTGACTGGAGACATTTTAGCTTCAAATTTCTTTTCCCAGGTCTATAAACAAACATCTAAGTCAGTGGAAAAGTTCCCTAATTATATAGTGAATTTCTGTGAAATGAATGATGTCTCCTAGATTTCCACTGGGTAACCCTGAATCAGTAGCTAGGGGGTCACTCTGCTTGCTGCTTATAAACGTGACAGTTTGGGGGCCATCCTTATCTAGTGAAGGTATATGGTCTGGGGAATATCTGGGCTGGAAATCAGGAAAATCTCTTCTAAAATGAGCTTAGAGTTGCTGAAGGGTTCTGAACTTCAGTTGGGTTCTCTCTGTGCCTCTTTTAAGAGAGGGAGAGTTGTGGCAGGGGCTGTAGGCTGTAGCTCAGTGGTGGAGTACTTGCTTCACACTGAGGCTCTGGGTTTGATCCTCAGCATCACATAAAAAATAAACATATTGTGTCCATCTACAACTAAAAAATATTAAAAAGAGGGAGAGAGAGAGAGGGAGAAGTAGAGAGAGGAACGATCAGTAAATTCTATTCACAACTCCATGGCACAAGTGTATTAAAATGGAAAGATATCTGTAGAGCTGAATTCTTTAGGATCACTTTTTGGCACTTATGCTCTTGATAATTGAACTGTTAGGTGGAATATCTACTGTATCACTTCAAGTCAGGTTAAATGCTGTGAACTGAAAGAGATCAAATGAAGGGAATCCCTTTCTGGGATTCAACCTTAAGGGACCCACAGGTAACTCCTGGCATTGTTTCTAAAACCACAGGGTAGCTGGTGCAGGCAGAGGCCTCTTTCACACACTGCGAAAGCTGATCTAGCTATTGGGATGACCTGTGTGGGCCTGTGCACGGCACAGGGCACCTTCACAGTTTCATTAAAGTTGTCTGGAGGCACTGTCATGTGGTGGTGGTCAAGAGCATAGACTCAAGTCACAAATGACCCTGGGCAAGTTACTTAACTTCCTGGAGCCTTATTTCCTTTTCCTAAAAGGTAGGAGTTTGTGTGATAAGATGTAGAGGACTAGCAATAAAAAAATAATCCTCTTAGCATTTGTTGTCTGGGCTGCTCTATCATGGGCTTGCTTTCTCATCCCCAGGTTATGATCCTCATCACAGGCGCTCACAAGGCTTTTGCTTTGTACAAGGCCATTGAGGAGGGGGTGAACCATATGTGGACCGTGTCTGCCTTCCAGCAGCATCCCTGCACCGTGTTTGTGTGTGATGAAGATGCCACCTTGGAGCTGAAAGTGAAGACTGTCAAGTATTTCAAAGGTGAGGGAGGGTGGATATGGGAGGAGGTAGTCAAGCCCAAGCATGCTAGGAATGAGGAATGGATTTTGTTTTCATTCTGGCCATTCTATTTTTTTATTTTTGTGTACTGGGGATTGAACCAGGCACACTCTATAACCGAGCTGTACATCCCCAGCCCTTTTTATTTTTTGAATCAAGGTCTCACCAAGTTGCTAAAGCTGACCTCAAACTTGTGATCCTTCTGCCTCAGCTTCCTGAGTTGCTGAGATTACAGGTGTGTGCCACCACACCTAGCTCATTCAATCCCTGGACCCCCTCTCCTGTGCTGGGGATGGAACTCGGTTTCTCCACATGCTAGACAAGTGTTCCACCACTGAATTACATTCCTAGCCCTCACTTTGGCCATTTTAATGGACACCTAGAATCTCAAAAATCAGACCCTACTGCCTCATAATACAGTCACTTCTCTACCATCCATGACTGCAAGGGTCCACTTCTGGAGATGTTTGCTCTGAGGTGGCAAAAAACAAAAACAAAAACAAAACCCAAAGTTTTAGTTAAAGAACTGTGTGTGATCTCCTTGTGATGACATTGAGTCTTAGGTGTTCTCAGTCTAGATCTCATACACATCTTTCCCCTTAAGTCAAGGTCCTGACGTGCCTTGAAGTGAAGATCTACAGGATCTTTCTTTTACTTTAAAAGGATACTTACTAGAGGGTTGGGTGTTGCTCAGTGGGAGTTTGCCAAGCACACGTAAAGCCCAAGCTTCGATCCCTGGTACACCTCCTGCTTTAGGCAAATTACATGAACACTCTCATCTAATAAATAGGAAGGTAAATTAGGAATTTTTCTTTGTTGAAAAGATTAACCTTTAAATAGTCAGCTGTCCTTGTGGTTGTGTTGACAGAACTTCCATGAACTCTCATTCACTGGGAGGAACAAACTTTTCCTGCTCTTAATGTTTTCATGATTTGGAGATCAGAAAGATAAGAGTGTCAGTTCTAGGACAAAATTGGAGAGCTTCTAGAAGTTCTTGTTGATCATCATGGAATTCTTGCCTCTATCTGCATTAACTACTTTTTTTTTTATAGGTTTAATGCTTGTTCATAACAAGTTGGTGGACCCCCTGTACAGTATCAAAGAGAAAGAAATTGAGAAAAGCCAGTCTTCTAAGAAACCATACAGTGATTAGCCTATGCTGGGACCTACTATCAAGTACCTCATAGGAAATTTTCTTTAGGAGAACAGAATTGTTTTTTCTTTAGTCCAGTATGGTTACTGCAGTAAGTAGGTGAACTTACTCTTCTTGGTTCCGAGGCTAGAAGCCTTGTCATGGAGTTCAGCTGTGGAATGACATGTAACTTAATCAGAAACGGTCTCTGAACAGTGTTCTCCATCATGTTGTCCACCACACCCATGTTAGGGCTTCTTGGCTTTTTGTTCTGCCTTAGCCACCGTTCATGTGTACAACACACTCCTGTCAGGAATTTCTATCCTTATGTGCACCTATTAGAGGGTGGGAATTAGGGGCTTGTGTATTTTGGACTCAATCTCTTTGGAGTCTTGAGACCTCCTCTTGTGCAAGCCTGCCCCTTATGTGAGAACTGCTGCTTCAGGTTAAGGTATGCACTTGATATCTAAATGACATACAAGGTAGCAGCTTCTCTGGTCAGTAACAAGTACCACAGAAAGAAACTGTTCTTACTCTCTTTCTCCTAGTTGTTTTTCTGCTCTCAAGGTGGCTTTTCCATGAACTGGGAGGACTCCTTGGAGGAGGATTTGGGTGGCTGGGGCTATTCCAGAGGTCTATCCATGACCCAAAAGGAGAGAGGTAGAAACCTTTTCCCTCTAGAGCCCTGTGTTTTTGTCAGAGGTCTCTTACATACTCATCAGTAAGGAGGAGACGCACCAGGGCAACAGACACTTCTACAGCTTCAGTGTTGTGATCAGACAAGGTGCTGGGGCAGAAAGCAGCTCAGTTCTGAGTTTAGTCACTACACACAAATGCCACACTCTCCTGCCTCCCTCAGAGTTGAGTGCCAAGGCCACACACCAGATACTTTTAGTATTGTTGCCCCATTTAACATACCCTGCTCCTCTAACCCTCTCAGGTTTGTGTGGTAGGATCTGATGTCAGAACATCAAGAATTACAAGCCTGGGCTGTGGATGTGGCATTTGCCTAGTGTGCATGAAGCCCTGGGTTCTGTTTACAGCACCACAAAAAATTTCAAAAAACAAAAACCCTTTGCCCATTTGTCCTTCAGCCCTCCCTGCTAAATATTTTGTTGCTGTCTTCCTCTTATGCCCTTAAGCCTTTGTGGAGTGGTTGCTGCCTCAGCCTCCCTGTTCTGGTGCCTGTTTGAAGCTACTGCTGCTTATTTCTGGGAAAATTCTGGCTCAGGCCTCTCTTTAAGTGCTGCCTTTGGCATCAGCATCTCGTCCTTTAGCTTTTATACGTGATTGTGCTGTCATTCTATGTTAAGCTAATCAATCAGTGGACTTGTTTACAATGTGATTTTTTCTATTAAATCCAATATTTTCAATAAAGTGTGTCATTTGTGGATTTCTACCTCCGAAGTTCAGAAGGTTGTCTTCTGAAGTTTTGTTTCCAAAATTGATAAATTTTGTAAGTAGCTGGTGAACCAAGCTTCACACTGAGTCCTCACAAGAGCTTGCAGGAAGATCACCAGCATAGTAACAGTCTGTTGGTCTTAATCATCAGGGTGAAAAAAGATTTTTATAAAAATGAAGCACCTATGTGAAAAAAGGTGGGAATAAACAGATGAGCAATACATTTTCATATTGTGGCTATACTTGAGATTTAAGCAGGGATAATGGCTATTAAAAATATGATAGGAGCCGGGGATGTAGCATTGGTAACATGCTTATCTAGCACATGTGAGGCCCTGGTTTCAATCCCCCGCACTGCAAAAATATCTGCAAGTTATGCAAAAATACAATTTTTTTTTGTGTTAAAGTTCTAGGTAAAGAATTATCTTTGGTCATATAATTAAGGACATATAAATAAGAAGGGTTTTTATTTTATTGGAGTATAATTTACATGCCAGTAAAATCCACTTGATATAAATCCATTGATTTTTAGGTGTGTGGAGTGGTGTGATCCTCTTCATCATTCCACAAAGCTCCTTGCTTCTGCCTCCAGTCCCAGGTGGTCACTGATATGCTCTTTGTCTATAGACTGACCTTTCCTGGACATATTTTTGTAGGGAGGCAGTGCTGGGGATTGAACCTAGAGCCTTGTATATATGTGCTAAGTACATACTCTGCCGCTGAGTTATATCCCTACCCTTCTTAGACATTTCATATAAATGGAATTTATAACATCTTTTGTGTCCGACTTCTTTGATTCAGCATAACATCTTTGGTAGTTATGTGTGTTTTGTGTTGCTGGTTATTGAACTCAGGAACTTGTGCATGCTAAGCACTCTTCCACTATGGTGTTTCCCCAGTCTAAGCATATTTTTTGAGGTGGTCCACATAACACAGCAATTGTCCATTCTTTTTTATTAGTATTCCGTTGTGTGGACATACCACATTTTGTTTATCCAGTCAAGATAAAATTAACTGTAGTAGAATTTAAAGAAAAAGGATTTAGAAATGACAGCCAAACTGGAGACATCTGTATGAACTTGAGACCTTGAAGAGATCTGATCTCAATCTGCTTCCCTGGTGGCCCAACAGCAGGATCATCCTTCTAATACCAGTACTTATGTGAATCAAGTGGGACTTGCACCTCTGGGCCAGTTTAAACCTCCAATCTACCCCAGGCTTGTTGGAGAGGACCTAATTATGTTTTGGGTCAGGGATCATGGTGGTGGACCTGAAGTATCTTGTTCCTAGAAAACAAGGGTGCTTGGGCTGGGGTTGTGGCTCTGGTAGAGCGCTTGCCTAGCATGCATAAGGTACTGGGTTCGATCCTCAGCACCACATAAATGTAAAATAAAGATATTGTGTTCACCTAAAACTAAAAAATATTTAGAAAAAGAAAAAGAAAACAAGGGTGTTTTCAGGGGTGTCTAAGGTAGTGTTGAAAAGACAAAACAGCCAGTTAAACTGGACTCCACTGACCAGGTTGTGATAATTTGACTAAAAATACTAAATACAGTCTACAGTGACGTGCTGAATCTATAAAACTGAAAGTCTGATACTCAAAAAGGGAAAACGTAGTATTAAGTGTACAAAGAGTAGTGTTTCAGGAAGTGTGGATAGAATGTGTTTAAAGTATAACATTTGGTCAATAGTGGCAGCATGGACATAAAAAGGTGTCATCTTCCTTCTTCCTATGTAGTCTGCTCATAAGTACAGATGCACTGCTGTGGCCTATTCTTCCTCCTCCTTTCCCGTCTCTGAAAATATTCAAATGCCATTTGTTAGATCTTCCCTGACCCTACAATACAAAGTAGCAATCTCTGAAGGCTGCCCTCCCTGCCCTGCTCTTTTTTCTCAGAACCATTTACTGACAGGATTTCCCCATTCAATTGAAGCTCCATGAAGGCAGACTTTGCTAAATCCTACTCTATCCCGCACCATAACAGTGTCATAGAAGACACCACTGTTTGCTGAACAAGAAGCATGCTCCCCAAGAGTAGCAATCATACATGAGAAGCAAGGAAAGTAGCATATTACATGATGATGGGTTAGCCCACTGGCCTACTAAGAAGGAAGTCTAACTTAGTGTGACAAAATGCTAGTGAAGCCTGCCTAAGTGTCAACAAGGCACTCTCTGACTGTGATGAGACAGTGGGTAAGTAAAACAGAATGGAGTTACTTGAACCTCAAGGGAGCCCTAATGCCATCAGGTAATCAGACTAGTAATCATGCCCACTCCTTTGAGTCTCCTTGAAGACCAATTCATAAGGTCTCAAGCCACTCCGTCAGCTTTTCTGGACTGATGACCTTGAAAACAGAATAGAAAATAATGTCCACAAGTTCCCACCACCACACACACCCATATGCCCAAACTGGCCTGGAACTTGCAATCCTCCTGCCTCAGCCTCCCAACTCACCAGGATTACAGGAATGCGCCACCATGCCCAGCTGGCTCGGGGTTTTTAATTCTCAAGGTGGTCCACACTCAGTCCTCAGTAATTGGTTTAAATTCAATCACTGGCTCCAGAAGTTTCTGCCTTAGGTAGGCTAACTGTTCCCCATCCCTTTCCTTTTTAGAAACTGTTCAGTTTGTTTAGCTTTTTACCTGTTGTGAGAACATCCCTTTCTTTCTCAAATACACTCCAGATTTTCATCTCCCCTCCACTCGAACAGCACCTATCAAAGTCTCCCAATGACCTTAACACTGATTGCTTGATTATTAGAGCTCATATTACTTATGTGCAGCATCTGACACAATTGATTCCTCCTCCCTTCAAACTTAACTTGACTTCCAGGACAGCACACACTGCTGGTTTCCTTCCCTTACCGACCTGACCATTCCCTGTCTCCTTTGCTGGTTCTTCCTCATTTCCTCAGCCTCTTAGCATTTGGGCCAGTCCTTGGCCCTTTCTCTATATACAACTTACTCCTTTGATAAGCTAGCTCATCTAGTCTCTTGGCTTTAAAGATCATCTATATGTTGTCTCCAATATTTTTATCTCTAGCATGAATCTCTACCTGCCTATTTAACATCTCTGCTGGGATAACTACCAGGCATCTCCAACATACTTTCCCACAACTAAATTCCTAATCTTCACCCACAAACCCATGCTGTCTACATAGTCTTCTCCATCACAATTGCTCAGAACACCTAGAAATCAACCCTGATGCTTCACTATCTCTCAATATATATGCAGTCTATGAGCAAATCTTATTAGTTTTGCCTTCAAGCTAAGTACAGAATCTAATTCTCAATAATTTTTTTTTGTATTATTGGGGTACTGAAGATCGAAACCTTGAACCTGTGATCCTCCTGCCTGAGCTGCCCAAGGCCCTGGGATTATAACTATGTGCCATCATGCCAGGATCCAATTCCCCAAATTCTGCTGGCACATTAGCACAATCCATCTGTACTTCTTACCTGAGTTGCTACAAATGGCCTAACTGGTTTCTAAGCTTGCTCACCCCTAAAACCTAACTCAGACCACATTACTCCTCTGTGCAAAGTCTTCTAAATTCACTCAAGCCCTGGAACTGTCTGTAGTACTACCCATTCACGTCCTATCTCTTACTGTTCTTCCTTCCTTGGTCTATTTCAGCCCTTACTGCTTACTATATTGTTCCTAGAGCCCTCTAATGTGTCCCCATCCCAAGGGCATTTGCCCTGGTGTCTATACCTGGACTTGGGGTGTGCCTCAGTGGTCAAGTGACCCCGAGTTAAATCCCTAATATGCCCACAACACACACCAAAAAAGGGCTGGGGATGTAGCTCAGTGGTTAAGCACCCTTGGGTTCAATCTTTGGTACCAAAAAATAAAAAATTTTTAAAAATCCAGCACTGCCCTGCTTCCCCTAACTCCCTATCTCCTCCTTGACTTCTTTCCACTGACACTTATCTTCTGGTGACCTATATAGTTTGCCTATTGTCCGTCTCTATCCATCAGAATTTAAGTTCACAAGGACAGGGACAGTACATCCATTTTATTCATTGCTATGTTCTCAGCAACTAGAAAAATAGGCCCATTATGAGGTGCTCATTATTTGTTAAATGAGTGAATTATTCAAGGAAGTATAATAAGTTGCAAAAGTAGAATGGATTGAGAGTAAGATACATAGTTGCTTTAAAAATCTTATGTTGTATAAGTTTATTTTTTATTTTTTGGGAGTTGTTTTTATAATGGGATAAAACAGTATAAGCAAGTTAAAGAAATAACTGTGCTAACTCTGCTAGCTACATGAGCATCAGAATCTCACAAAGTTTTCAATGTGCACAATCTTCTCCAAAGCATCCTGTGGCTCAGAAAAATATGGGAATGCTTGGAGTGGTGAATCTTCAAGCCACCGAGTAATTGAACAAAGTCTAGACTATGGGTGCTGAAAGTTGATAAGCACCATAACATCTGTGAAGAACATCCCTAAAGTTCCTAGAGCCAGCCTTCTGACCACAAAACCTCATCCTGGTCTGCTGATCAATTTTTTTATTCAGCCAAGTTTAGGGAACAAATTGTCTTCTTCTTTTTAACCAGCATCAGTGGGCATCACATTGGTACAATTATTTGGTCCTACTCAGGAGCTTGATAAATAACTTAATTGCCTTCCATTAGTAGCTGAAGATAGTGTACCTGTTAGGCATAATACTTGCCATTGTGGAACAACTGAATAAGATAGCAACTATGGATCAAGTAAATTTTAAGTGGCCTAAAAGTTTTGGTAATACTACTCTTCCTGCCTTGCTGATATTGTCATATTCTGTCTCCCAAGGTATAAAAGATACTATGATGAAATACAATGAGGAAAATTATAATCCCAGAAATTAAGTCTGCTTCTGTTAACAAAATACTATTCCTAGCTTAACTCATCACTCTGTGTATGTTATGTTTGTTTGTCTCACCATTTTGTCCAAGTTGGTCCTGAACTGCTAGACTCAAGTGATCTTA